ACTGGTGGAGGGCTGCAGTGATGGTTGACTTTCTTTGACTTTCTACAACTTTCTCCCATCTCCTGACTGCATCTCTGGAGCTCAGCCACAGTCATCTTTGGGTTCTTCTGTACCTCTCTCACCGAGGCTCTTCTCCCCCGATAGCTCAGTTTGGCCGGATGGCCAGCTCTAGGAAGGGTTCTGGTCGTCCTAAACGTCTTCCATTTAAGGATTATGGAGGCCACTGTGCTCTTAGGAACCTTAAGTGCAGCAGAAATTTTTTTGTAACCTTGGCCAGATCTGTGCCTTGCCACAATTCTGTCTCTGAGCTCTTCAGGCAGTTCCTTTGACTTCATGATTCTCATTTGCTCTGACATGCACTGTGAGCTGTAGGGTCTTATATAGACAGGTGTGTGGCTTTTCCTAATCACGTCCAATCAGTATAATCAAACACAGCTGGACTCAAATGAAGGTGTAGAACCATCTCTGGGATGATCAGAAGAAATGGACAGCACCTAAGTTAAATATACGAGTGTCACAGCAAAGGGTCTGAATACTTATGACCATGTGATATTTCAGTTTTTCTTTTTTAATAAATCTGCAAAAATGTCAAACATTCTGTGTTTTTCTGTCAATATGGGGTGCTGTGTGTACATTAATGAGGAAAAAAATGAACTTAAATGATTTTAGCATATGGCTGCAATATAACAAAGAGTGAAAAATTAAAGGGGGTCTGAATACTTTCCGTGCCCACTGTATGTCGATGCCTCTGCATAATTGTGGACAAATTTAAATTAAGTTTAATTCAGTGACAGGACATTGCATTGGTTCTTTATAATAAGAACACCTTTTGTGATTGCCAGCCAAAGGCTCAATCACAACCACCAGAAGTATTCATGTACTTTAGTTGTACATTGACACTTTGCTAATATGGCTGAGAATCTCATACTACGTAGCAATCAAAGTCTTACAGAATGCTGGGAGACTTTAAAGGGGAGGAATGTAATCAAAGCTCGTCTCTTGCATTTATCATTACTGCAGTTGAGGGACATGCTTTAATTTCTTGCCAGCTGTGATTACTGTCATTATTTTACTACTGGGGTTTTGTTATATTGCACATATGACAGTATATGCTTGAGATTTACAGTGAGGAACATAAGTATTTGAACACCCTGCGATTTTGCAAGTTCTCCCACTTAGAAATCATGGAGGGGTCTGAAATTCACATTGTAGGTGCATTCCCACTCTGAGAGACAGAATTAAAAAAGAATTTCAGGAAATCACATTGTATGATTTTTAAAGAATTTATTTGTCTTGCACTGCTGAACATAAGTATTTGAACACCTGAGAAAATCAGTGTTAATATTTGGTACAGAAACCTTTGTTTGCAATTACAGAGGTCAAAC